GAATTCAGGCTTGTATAAAGAGCAAAGGATACCCAACTAAATATTAAAAGTAGTTAAAATTTTAAATTAAAATTATTGCATAGAATTTGAGTAATAAAATAGAAAAATTTTTAATCGAATTTCATTTTTATATATTTATTCGAGTTCTACGGAACCTAGATGCATGGGATTTTGTACAGATATTCACAAGAACCTAAACCGCAAATGATATAAATTTCATACATGTTTATTATGTATATTTTTGCACAATTAACAAAAGCAAGTGTTCTGAAATTTTTGTCCAGATGCTGTAATTAATTTTTATATCATAACAAGTGTTGTATGTGAAATTGAAATTATGTGAATTTGAAATATTATGGAGTGGGGTGAAATTCTGATTGGCTAATTTGAATTTCATATGTGTAAATTTGAATTTCACATATGTGAATTGCGAATTCACATAATTTCATTTTCATGTACAACAACCCCATCCACATATTCTGTATGGAATATGCACAGAATTATACATTTTCCAGGACAAATATGTATGGAAATGCACTCTTTTCATGTATAATTCCATACATATTCCATACAAAATGCACAGGAAATGTATAGAAAAACCATACATTATCTGAAAAAATTTTAAAAGTTAGGATGCTATTTTATAGGGCTTCAATCTTAATTTAATTTCAATTGTGTATTAATTAGTTCTCCTCTGCTTTTCAAGTGAAGTGGTGTCTACAACTGGTAGAATTTAGAACATAAGTGCTGTAATATAGAAGTCTGCAACTCAGAATGTTGTAACCTAGGTTGCAGAATTTCAAGTCATACCAAATTTAGACATGGTGTGTGTCTAGAAATTAATATGAAATTATATCATCCCATTCCAAGAATAACATGATCAACATAAAATGAATGAATTACATGACTGGTGTTGATTAATGTATTTAGCATAGATATGATGATTTATTTAATCCTTTATATAAATTTAACAATAAAAAAAAATTGATGACAAATAACAACATCAACTCAACTGTCTCCTAGTTATACATGTAGTTGAAACTATTTTGACCATTTGCAGATCTGGTCAAAATAGGGTCGAAATAAGGTTGAAACTGAACTTTACTATGTAGTTGCCTTAAGTCAAAGCATTTCGACTTCATGTATACTCCTAGTCAATCAAATCAGCCAACAAAAAGGATGTAAATTAAAGGTAATTGTTGATTGGGTTGACTTAGAGCCCTTAAAGCAATTCTTCTTTTGGAGATAAGGGAGGAACACATCCTTTTCCCTGCCTTTCAGAGCCAAATAACTTATGGATGATAGAAAGCTCACCTATCAAGCAATTTTCTATGAGATATTATATCAAATGGTCATTGAGAAATGCACTGAGGAGGATAAAGGGAAACTCAGAAGGTTTGTGGGATTTTATTCATTGCAAATCTAAACAACTTGGATATATCAATGATGATAAGATGATACATTAAATTAGCTGAAGCTTCTCTCATGGTAGTATTATTTATTGTTATTCTTTGATATTTTATTTATTTATATTAAAAATTCTAACACAACCAACACAATCTTATTGCAAGTACAGCTTTAGAAGTCTATGTGGTGAATAGAGAGGAAACTTGCACCACTATACATTATGAAAAAATATTTGGCAACAATTAAATCTGAAATTGACAAGAAAAATTAATTGAGTTTTTAAACAACTAATATCATTATGCTAGGAGGATTAACAAACAATCAACAAAGTGAGATGTATTTAAAGAGATGTGAGTGGATGGTTAGGATAGCAAGGATATGGATAGTAGTAGTGGCAAGGATGAATATGAGAAGAATCCAAAAATTTAAAACTGTTAAGAAAATTTTCAAAAAACCGTTTGTAAACATTCAAATAATTATCACTTAATTATTTAAACAATGTTAATGAACAGGTAATTTAATTGTTGTTAAATTAAAAGTTATCTTTATTTTATTCGAATTTTGATTCTTTAAATAATAAAATTACAATTCTTAAAATACAAATATAGATCATGAAAGAAATAAAGAAATAAATAATCTCTATATTGTATGGAAGCTTATAGACTTCCCGGAAAGTATTAATCTTAAGATAACATTCATAATAAATATAATATAATAATAATAATAAAAATAATAATAATAAAAATAATCATTTTACACCATCGCCAAAACTCCTAATAAAAATATCAATAATTCAATGGAAAAATAATATTCATGATTCTTCGAAATAAAACGCAATAATCCCGATTGCCAAATTAGTATATAATAGCGAGCGAATTTTTCTACATTACCAAATATGGTATGGATTAATTACCTAATTTCGACTAGAATTATTTTAGCGATCAAGGTTGTTACACCGTTTTATGAAGTTACCCTTTTTTAGGAACCTCTTTGTCAATCAAATTATTCAAAGTTGAAAATCACGTGTATATTAAAATTTCAACAAAGTATTCTGATTGGATAAGGTTTTTTATTTTTTCACAAAATAAAGGTCTTCACGATAAAAATTATATATTTATTATTAAAAAGGTGTTTCATTGCTACAATAATGTTTATATCTTGCATTTTTAAGTGTATAATAAAATTTGGAGCTTTCAAAATGTTCAAGAAAAAACTAGCTGATAAGTTTTGAAGCTTCAAGTCATGGACAATTTTTTTAAAACGATATATATAAAAAATTTATACTATATACAAGATTCCCACCGTACCCTATTGGCGCATTTTTTAAAATTAATCAATCAAAAATTTATGCAAGTGGTCTTCGCTCTAAAATTTTGGAATAATATCATGTGTCAAGAATTCATGTTACACGCACAAACAAACCACCACCACCTTTACTACTATATTATTCTTATCACCACTACTTTTTAAAATAATGGAAAAATTTAAAGATGTAGGTTTACCAAATAAATTTTATTTTCCTAATATTACAAGATTATAATTTGGATTGTGATTGTTGTTAATCCAAGTAACCCAAGGGTTCGAACAATTGACATTAGTTAACAAAGACCAAGATAATTATTAAGAGAAGAAATATAAATATATAAATATAACCTTATTTATTTATTTTTTCCTATTTCGTTCTTTCATAATCTAACATCTTGTAGAAAATCAATTCACTCCGAGCTGAAGCAGATCATGCAACAGAAAGAGCCGAGGAAGCAGAAGCAAATTTAAAGAAAGCAAATGAAGAAATAATAGCCAAAGAACAAGAAATCATTTCACATCAAAATAAAATAACACTTTTAGAAGCGGAACTTGAGCGAGCGGAGAAGAAACTTTCGGATATTAAACTTGCAAAAGATGAAGAAGAAAATAGTAAAAGTGTTACTGAATCACTTCAACGAAAAAATGCTTTACTTGAAAAAGAATTGGATAATGCCGAGAAGACTTTAAGAGAGACGACTGAAAAGTAAGTTTATGCGAGAGTGTGATATTCATAAATGAATATTTAATAATCATGATAATTGTTACTATTTAGATTACGTCAAACAGATGTAAAATCGGAACATTTTGAAAGAAAAGTTCATCAGCTTGAATCTGAAAAATTCGAATTAGAAAAAGCACTTGAACAACAATCTGAAGAGTTTAAAGCAGTTAAAGAAGAACTTGATACCACACTCAAATCAATTGCTGACCTTTAATTGAAATAATTATATTAATAACGATAATAATAATGATAATATTATTATATATATATATAATGTCAATGTTATATTTGTTATTTTATTTATTTATGGGAATTTTATAATTGTGTGTTTTGATTAAGTATTATAAATTAATATTATCTATAATATATAGCTAATTATTGGTTCAAGTTGATCTCATTCAACCTTTTCACTTAATGTATCATCATGATCACTTTCTCCCTCATCTCCATCATCTTGATTACTATTATAACTTTGTTGTTCATTTCCAAAAGATTGTAAGACTAAATGTTGATACATGTTTGCCATTTCTTCATCATTGTTATCATCATTACCATCATCATCCTTATTATTATTCAACCTTGATCATTACCATTATTGTAATTATAACAATTATTTGATGATATGAATTGTTTAAGGATGAATCCTTATTATACAATTATATACATTCTCTTGATCATCAGATAATGGAGGACGGAAGCTTTTAATCCATATTTAGCCATCAAAGTTTCCTCCATCACAATAATACTTGCTAACATATCATCTATAATTCCTACACTACGAAGACATAACTATTAAAGATAAAATATTATTAATAATAGCTCAAACATGTATAAATACAAATACAAATGCAATACATATACTGTATATGAATTAGAACCTTTGCATGTCAAACGTAATCAAGGCTCTAAAGCGATAATAAAAATAGCAATAATAACAATATTATTGTTATAATATGAATTTATAAAAAAATCATCAATTTAATAAATCTTTTTTTATTATCTCAAGTAATGCAGTCGATGAAACAAAACCTTGACTGGCTCCTTCAAGTTTACGGCATATTTTACGAGATCTTTACACTCTGTTGATAATCTATACAAACATATTAATAAAATTGGTGATATACAACTACAATGATAATGAATGGAAATTAATAAATAGTTATATAGAATTGATATTTACTTTACTTCGATCCTACTTGCAACTGTAATAAACTTTGAATAAATCAATCAAATTATCCATAGATATTAATTAAAATTAATTATTACACGTTTAAATTCATCAAAGGCAATGCATTAATACTATTATTATTTGATTGATGATAATCCAACATATGTCAACCAACGAGTCATTTAAATTTAATCCAACGATTTTCTAAGATGAATTACCATATCAAATATACTAATAGTACATGATGATGATAATAATATCAATGATATTAATAAGTAATAATAATAAACTTTAAGAAGTTAAAAGATGGACAATTTTGACTTACTCGATTATCGGTTTAATATAATAATCATTACAAAAATCTATAAATATGTAAAAATAAATATACATACGCAAATCAAAATCAAAATCAAAATTAAAATCACCTCAACTCCTTTCTCTTTCATCGAATCATCGTTTTTTATTATTATTTAATTTAGACTGAGGCTTTGTGACTGACTAAACCCAACAACAAGTATTCAAAATCAATGATACTTAATTGATGAAGACGATTTCTCGCCATTAAATTTTGCTTTTATCCAACATTATAAATTAAGTTAGTAGATTGTTAAATATTAATATTATTTATAAATAAATCTAAGAGATTTTACATCTTTTACCTAATAAATCCAAAATGACCAATAACATCTCATCTCTTGAATTTGCAAGAATATTAACTAGATAAGACAATAACAACAAAATTAATAATATTCTTATAAGTGCTGTGTATGTATAATAATAATTACATTCTATAAAAGTTTCTCTTTCAATATTTTGACCATCCTATATTATAAAAAGATGTTGTTTTTTTTAGACTAATATCATGAGTCCTTGATTACAATAGTCTTAATATATTTAATATATACATATTTATACATTTATACATATATACTAATTAATTATGTGCCTTTCATAGTTGAATTAGTTTAGTAATAATTGAATTGTGACCACCATAAATGGTCATTAAATGTATACATGGTAAAATCCAATGTTTTTTTTTGATGTTATAGTTGTGATGTTGAAAACTTTTGAAGTTGATGATTGTTGTTCAGAAAGTGAGACAAGACTAAAAATTAATCAATAATATTTTATATATTATTAATTTGTATAATGTAAATATATGTTATAAACATATATAATAAAAGAAACAATTTGATTTTCTTATATAAAGAACGTGATATAATATCCTCTTTATAATAAGATAAGCAAGACACTGACATTGACATCGACATCATGTTAATTAGATATTAATTTGAAAACGAAATATCTAAATTACCAAGAATAAATTCACAAATCTTTGCGTTAATGACCAAGCTGAAGGATTTGTTGTAAATTAATAAATATCATGTGAAATAAATTAGTAAATAGTAAATTGTTAATAATAAGAAACTATATAAAAATGATTTATTAGTATCAATTCATTACATTCTTGAAGGTGGACTGTTGATTCTAGAAGAACCGATGATGATCTTGTGGAATTATTTATTCTAACAACATATTATTCGGATGTTAATTACATATTTAATTTTTAAAAAAAATTATTTAGAAAATAAAATTATTATTACCACAGCAATGTATCTCAAATCATTGATCCATAATAAATCATACATTAAACAACATATTTAAATATTAAAAATATAAAATATGAAAATACACATATCTCCATCTGCAAACCGTTATCATATAATGATTTACTACAATATTTTCTAACTAATTATCAGTAAATTTTATTCAGGAGGTAATACTATGAGATTAGATGGTAGTAAACGTAGCCAGCCTTCATTGGTTCCAGGTACAGTAATCTTCCTATCCATCCCACTGATGGCTTTCCTCTTAATTATAACATAGCGAAAGATATGAACAAGTTAGCAAATGCCATTACTATAAAATCAGCAGAGGCGCTAGCTAAATCTTGTTCTAATTTATTAGATAAGTATTATAAAGTTAATACACGACAAGACAAAAATTATCCACCTTTGTCACTTATTGATCTTTAAAAAAGATAATATTACATATGCTCACCTATATTGATAATTAACCTAAGTTAGGTAGTAAATTAATTTTCTTTCTTATTAGGTCTTTCATGACTTTGTGTTAACGTTCTTTTATTAGTTATGATTTCATAGGTAATTCTTCTTTCCTTAGATAAATTTCAAGTGTCTGAGTATCATTTGTTCTGAAAACATAAGGGGTAATTTTTCACCTTGTTATTTCTTCTGAATGTACTATAATTCTTGGACTCCATGGTGAATCTGACGTGAATGAGTTTCATATTTATATTTTATTTGTAGGATTAGTTCTATGTTAAGCAATTCTGAGCACTGACTGAAATTCCTGGTAGCACAAATCTTCGCTTTGTTGGGTTTTGTTGTAAGCATGCCCGCCCCTTTTATTATAAAATACATAATTATAAATGAAAATAAGTCGCTCAGATTTGATCTGCATAACAATTTCATAAAAATTGGTATAACAATATAATAATAATAAAATTATCAAGCTGACAAAAGCATACTGTGACAACATATTAGCAAAGAAGATGAAGACGATACACCTTTGGTGAAAATTAAAAGTCTGAGTAAAGCTATTGGTTGTGAAATCTTGGTAATTAATCAATATTATGCATGATCTTTTACTATTACTGTTTTAATTCAAAAAATAATAAATATTTGTATTGCATTTGTTAAGGGAAAAGCTGAGGTATATTATCGTCAGCTTTATATTATTATTATTTTTTCAAATAAAAATCAGCCTAAAAACATTGGGGATTTTTTAATTGATATACATACATTAAGTAATCATATATATTACAAAGCTTCTTAGTCCAGGAGGTAGCTCAAAAGATCATTAGCATTAAATATGATTAAAATCACAGAAGAAAAAGGATTAATTAAACCAAACACAGGATGTGCAATATTTGAAGGAATGTGAGGTTCAACAGGAATACCTATTGCGATGATTTCATGTGCAAAAGGATATAATGCATGGATTATTATTCCAGATGATCAAGCTGAAGAAAAATATCAATTATTAGAAAAATAGGGTACAACTGTTAGTGTTGTTGTTAAAAATCATTTATTAATTTGGCAAAAAGTCAAGCCCAGTAATTTTTGGAACATCAAATCATAATGATGCTAACAATAACTGATCAATTTGAGAATATGGCTAATTTTCAAGTATATTTAATCCACCTTGATGGAAGAGTGTAAATAGTTTCCATCTGGTTGTGAAAGAGCAGTAATTTCTATTAAGTTCAATTTACAATATTGAAGTTGGTCAAAGATTTTATTAAACTTCCTATTGGATGCCAACATGTATTTTTACATCATAAAAATCTTTCATTTTCATTAATATTAAATAAAATAAGAAGGGATCTTAATACCTCCGAAATTATAGAATAACTTTCCATTTAACATGTATGTTATTATGTAAACAAATTTATAAAGAGAATATAATAATAAAATTAATAATCTAACATTGTATTTACTTTTTTATCAATTATTTGAAAAACTTCTAATTCATCGAATCTACTCCATCTACTATATTGATGTTATTATAACCACCTGTATCAAAAAAAGGAGAACCACTACTAAAATCAGGTAAATAAAAAGGTCTACAATAAACTGCACCCCATAATGATTATTAATAACATAGCTAAATTGTGCAGTATTAACATCATTTCTATTATTAATATTAAATATAAAACTTTCTGTTGTATTCTTATATCCCCTTTTATTCCAATTAAGTGAATTATAGCCACCAATTATTTTCTCTGAATTTTGTATTTTGCAACTGCAAAAGTTTTATTGATATCATCACATTTTTGATGGAATGTAGTTGCATTTATGCCATCTCTACTGCTTTGATATAAAAGTTTGAATTCATATTTGACTTCCCTGAGTGAAATATATGATGGACTTTTTCTATCAACCCAACTTGAAAAAAACAAGGTAAGATTTTGGTTGGTTGTCAATGATTCAAATTTAGGATTTCTCGATGGAAATAAATTTAATGTTTGTTGTTTATCAGGAAATAAATAATAAAGTAAAACGGGTTTCCATAAAACCCTAGGAAAAAGCATTTGATATGGTTCTATTTTATTAAAAAAATCCTCTTTGGAAATATCCTAAAATCTTATTAGAGAAAGAAAATCTTTTAATGTGTTGCTTTGTGATGGCTAACCTTCAAAGATTGATATTATTGATTTCTGGATGTTTTGCTAATCCCATTTAAAGACGTTTTCTGAAATAACAGAAAATCATCTTTTTTAAGAATTTCCAATAGAGTTGGTTTTTCCAACGATTCAAATTCACTCGACTCGAATAATTTCACAAAATTTTTCAATTCATGAGTTTTAAAATATCTCAACATATATTCATAAAGTAACTCAATACCAAATTGATTTGCTGCAGTTAATAATTCCAATACTTTTGCCCAGAATAAATTTCAGATTCAATTTTACTTTGGAACAAAATTTTTGGATTGTTAACAATCAAAAAAAGTTTTTGTATCACGAACTTGCTTTTTTTAGTATTGGTTTAATTATGGATGCTACGATTAAATTTTTTTCTATTAGTTAAATAATGTCAAGTAAAGCTCAAATTGCGTCAGGGTCAGTAAATGTTACAGTAGATGTTTTAAAAGCGACATCAAAGGAAGCAGCAGTAGTAGTTGATGCGCTGGCACCTTTTTTGCCACTTATAGCTGAAGTTGCAGCTATTGTAGCTGAAATAATAAATTTATATCAAACAGCTGAACATAACAAACGTATATGTGGCTCATTATTGTCAAGAGTTACAACTGCTGAAAATGCAGTCAACATTTTGAAAATACGTAGACTTGAGAATGAGGATTTGTTCAAGTCAAAACAATATTATAAAGATTTTCAGAAATTGGTTAATGTTATCAAGAAAATTCAGAAATTCATTGCTGACGTTTCACAACTTAACGGTCTAAGAAAATTTTTGTTGGCTCATTCAATCGAGGATGGGTTTAAACGTTTAACTGATGAGTTTGATGGATTAATGCGTGTTCTAAATTTTAGTTTAGCTATTCAAACACAAATTCAAGTTGAAGATGATAATAAAGCTCTTCGTAAGGATATAGAGGAAATGACAAATGCAAGTTTTTTATTTATAATTAATTTTTTTGCGAGTATGTGTGTAATTAAACATATATATTTATTCTTATATTTATTGATATAGTATCTTAAATCAATTGAAGGGGGTATTGCTGATAAATTATCACAAATCAATGATAAACTGGATGATATTTCTCAATTGAATATATTATGGCAAAAACAACTATTAAACAGTGATGAAGGTGAATTGAGATCAGCAAAGATACCATTTACTGAATTACATGATCCACCTCAACCAGTTAGACGTGGCAAAGTGATAAAAAAAGTTCGATTGGGTGAAGATGTGGCAATTAAAGCAAAACCTGTTTCAAAAGAAGATGACAAAAAAGATATTTTGGGTCAGGTTATTATTTTAAAAAAATTGAAAGAATCCCAATTCATTTGTCAATTTTATGGTGTGTCACAAGATGGAGATATAATGTATTTGGTGACTGAATGGTGTGAATTTGGTAATTTGACAGAGTATCACAAATTAAATGGACCACTTAATTGGCATCATAAATCTCAGTTGGCTGTTGACATTGCAAGAGGTCTGACATTTTTACATGCTGTCTCCATATTACATCATGATATAAGATCAGAAAATATCTTGATTACAAATCATTGTCAAGCAAAAATTGCTAATTTTACTTTGAGTAGAGGATTTGATGATGCCACTAAAAACATCACTCCAACAATTGATAATGTTAGATGGATGGCTCCTGAAAAATTGAAAAATAAAAATTCTCCTTATACTGCAAAATGTGAAATTTATAGGTATTTAATTTAAATTTATCATTTAATTGACAGTTTATTGATCGATTAATAATGGTTTCTTCTCCCTCTAAATAAAATTCAAGTTTTGGAATGCTTTTATGGGAAATTGCTGAAGAAAAAATCCCATTCCAGAATGAAACGGATATTTTGAAAATTGTAAATAATGTGATAGATAAAATACGTCCATCCTTTAGTCTTGGAGTTCCAATTGAATGGTCAAAACTTGTTTATCAAGGTGAAAAAAAATTTTTTTTTAAAAGAATGATATATTTTTATAATTAATTAATTAATACTATACATAATAAACTCACACACATATATATGCATTCATATATGCGAGTAGCTTTGCAAGATAGTCCAACTGCAAGACCTCCACTTAAAAATATGTTTATGACTTTAAATGACATTTATCATAGATATCTACCACAAACATCTCCAAGACCTGCATTAATAAGCAAATTGACAGATGATGAACTGCCAATTGATGATATCAATCAATTGGAAATAGATAATGAGATACCTGATAATATAATAAGTATACATGAAGCTATAAATGAACATAAGAAACAAAATGGTGATAAAGCTTTGGCATGGAATGCATTTAAACAACATTCTGAAGACTTTGATGATATTCTTGCCAAGTAAGTGTTGTAATTAAATTATACGTGGGTTTGTGGTGAATTTATATTGAATTAGTAATGGTAAATTTGTAATGTGTATTATATTATTTTTTATCTTATCATAATATTTAAAATTTATTTATTCAGATATTGGATGGGATATTATTTATATTATGATTTGTGTCCAATAGAAAATAAAGATGATAATGAAGCAAGACAAACAAGATTGCAACAAGCAGTTCAATTATTCAAAGAAGCAGCTGATGAAAGCATACCAGATGCACAATTAAGATATGGTCATTGTTTATGGGCTGGTGAAGGAGTAAAGAAAAATATCAAACAGTCAGTAGAATATTTCCAAATGTCTGCAAATAATGGTAATATAACTGCAATGTATAATATAGGTAATATTTATTATAATGGTTTGGGTGTTGTTAGGGATGAAGAGAAAGGTAAAAGATACTTGAAAATGGCTGCTTTACAACAACATCCTAAAGCACTGTCTATGTGCAAATCTAAAGGAATCAGTCTTACTTAAGATTAGTTAGATTTATTATTATTTATTTACTTATTGGATCTTGATTTATTTATATTATTAAATTATTTAACATTTAATATTTATTTATTAAATTATTTCATTTAACATTTTGAATGTTATTTATTTATTAAATTACCTGCATGTCATAAACATATGCTTGCATTTATGATTATTTGAATTCATTATAAAAGGTACAACAGTTGCCATAACATTTGAAAGATAGAATGGATTTGAAGAAAGAAGAGGGAATAATCGTGTAGTTATCCACAAAAATATCCGCAAATTTCGTGAAACCTCAGAATATCCAATTTTTATTGGTGGGTTGGGTGCGTGTTATCCTTATTTAGAAATCGATTTGGCGATTGCGGATATTTTTTGTGGATAACTACATGATAATGTAAAATAAGTATATTCATACATGTTTTGCAAATAATTAGTGAATCATATTTTTTGATTCAAGTATGTTTTGACTTATGTTTTAAGTATGTTTTGTAAAAAATAAGTAGGAAATAAGTATCTAAACTTTTTGTAGGGATATGGCCTGGTGACAAAAATTGGCCATGTTGTTATCCTGATGACAGTTTGCACGTGGCCAAAAATTTGGAATGGGCCACACTTGAATGTGGTCAATTTTCATAAGTAGGTAACAATATACAACATATATTGTTACCATCTACTGAAATAAATGGTTTTGAAAGTCAAAAAAAAAATTTTTTTACCTAGTGCAATAATTGCATTTGGCTTTTCCATCTACAATTTTGAAATGGTTCCCACACTTCATTTTTTTGTTCTTCTTTGAACACATTGATTACACTGCACCTGTTGAAAAGTAATTGAAGGTGCATCATTTTCAACAATGCAATTATCATCATTCATCATTGTTGTATTTATTATTTAATGATGAATTGTAAATCATATTACTTTTTATTGTAGAGTTTTTATTTGTAACGCAAATTCTTACTCATTTTATTTGTTTGTTTTGCTCATT